CAAAAAGTAGACTTCCTGATGTTATCGGTTTGGAAGAAGTCGATCCCAGCGTGCGCCACCTTTGGAATGTATCTGAAAACCATGCCACGGGTTGACCCAAGCCTTGTGAGTGAAATTGGGTAGACGAAACACTTGGGGGCCGTCGATAGCTGTGCTAGCACGAAGTCACAAGTCATCGTGACCGAGGGTTTGAGTGTGCTGGCCTTGTTCAGATTGTTGATTACGCTAGATAACACGCTCTCTCCCAGAATCTGTAACTAAGGTCTGCTCAGCATAATTGCAGTATAAACCACAGGTGTGCTCTGTAGGTGTTGAACAGAGCGAGCGTCTGCAATGGAGATTGGCTAACCACCCTAGTAGACGGGTATCCTCGAATACGAGTGGCCAGCTATTTTTTTACTATATATATATATATATATATATATATATATATATATAGCTTACGATTATATCAATTTGAAACACCAGTTTTCGCAAGATCATTGAAATTACGCAACATATGGCGTTAAACAAAATCAACCGACCAATCAAAGCCTTACGTGTGTCACATATGTAAAAAGTTATGCATGAACGAGGCTGGTTTGCAAAGTCATCTGCAGGCCAATGGCTGCTCAGTTCAAAGCTGAAGAGATGGCCTTCTGTAAAGAAATGGACGTTACCGCGTATGTATATACGTGTGTATATTTATGCGTTTGTTTGTATGTGTGCCAATTTATGCTCACACAAATGATGCAACGAACAATGTTGTTTCGTTTCTACATTTTTGGAATCCTCAAATATGAATCGGCGCCGATGCAGCATTCCAATTTAATATCTGTTCAATCGATATCTCTATTGTTTGATGACATCATTTACCCGTGGATAAGGAAGCATCTACACGCAGATACAGGCAGACACGCGCGTCTTCAAACGACATTTGCTGATAACAAAACAGCATTCAGATTTTGTTACTTTGCTGTTGGAAAATGTCAGGCCTTATTTTTATTCATATCGCTGATGTTTGCCGTAAATCAATTGTAGGCGAATACTCCTTGCAGTCTTTTCGCTCGTATTGTAAATTCAGTTTTTAGTAAGGGCTCAACTATTATAACACTGTGCCAGACATAATTTTGTAAATACCTACATAGTTTTTTTTTATGAGTATCTTTATATGTTTACGTATGTACGCGTTTGAATACCTGCTTATCAACGAACGTCGTTTATTAGTCTACACGTAACGTCGAAATATTTCATATTTTATACAGGCCTTATAATTAGGTTTTCAGATGATGCTTTCTAAATGCATTTTTAAAAAAATTATATTAATATAATGGAAAAATAGGTTCAGTTTATTAGTTAATAACAATAGAAAATTGATAGCCTCTAGGGGCTTTGTGCTCATTAAAATATTATATTAATAGGACTTTATCCATATCGTCAAAAATGACGCCATTATTTTGCTATTTGAAGGCGAGTCTTTAAATATATATTTCCTATTATAATAGTTTACTCTTCTGCCCATCCAGGGGCTTACAACCGCATCACGTTGAAAATCCGGTTCCCGTGTGATACACCGAAATTAAGCAACGACGTGCCTGATCAGTACTTAGATGGGTGACCGCTTGGGAATACCAGTTCCTGTAAGCTTGGATGTGCGGGCGGTGTAATGGATAATGGTTCGGAATTGTTAATCGTAGAGTCTGAGTTCCAAATCCCGTTGGTTTCGTTATATCCATTTACCCGCAAATACCTTTGGGACAATGTATGAATCCACACGCTTCCCCCAACTATGGATTAACTAGTAAAACTTGTATAACTAACTCATTCTCAAAAGCAAAAATTGTGTGCAAAAAATTAAAATTTCGGCATTAAGATTAAATAAGATTGTTATAGCGTTAAACAAATAACAAATTATCTGTCCATCCAGACAAGCGTTATCATCCGATCGTTTCCTTAGATTAAATAAAAATGTGCATTTTATTGCATTCTACATTCATACAGGTCATCATCATCAGTTCACAGCAAACAACTCTAATGATTATTGAAGTGTTTGGCCACGTCACATTAAAATTCACAGAAACTGAACGCATAAAATATGCATTTAGTTTATTAAAATTGTCTATATTATTTAATGAAACATGCATCAATGAAAAAATGCTGCCTAAATACACACACACATATATATATATATATATATATATATATATATATATATATATATATATATATATATATATATATATATATGCGATCGTATCCCAAGTTGTACAACGATGTACTGAAAAGTTCTCATCCCGAACCAAGAAAGGATTCCAACAGTCATTCTGATTTTTGGTCATTTGGTCAGAATTTCGATTTGGTAAATGGGTCGGGCTGAAAACTATTGCGGTATCCACTCTTACGAATGTAGACCTTTAGGGAAATCTATCTATCTCAGTCTGTTCATTATCTATCTATCTATCTATCTATCTATCTATCTATCTATCTATCTATGTTGATTCAAATTTGTTGTATTAATGTAGAAAGTGGGCTCTGTATCGAAGATAGTATGTGTGTGGTTATAGGAATCAACACTGAATGGTGACTGTCAGTTTCACATCTCATTCGATCGTCGGACAACGCCTAAAATCCATTCAACACTGAATGCGCATATATAATAATAATAATAATATATATATATATATATATATATATATATATATATATATATATGGTAAATATATAAGATAATTTTGAAAATTGTTAAATTGGTATATTTCACCGATTATCCTGTGTCATTAGAAAAAAGTTAATCAGAGAAATATGTCAGATTATATTTTTTACAAGTTGTGTTTTATATTTATACTGGAATCATATGCACACATATGCGCGTATACACACACACACACACATATATATATATAAAGAGCGTATAAATATAAAAATGTCTTAATATATATATATATATATATATATATATATATATATATATATATACATGCGCGCACACACACATGTTCTGTGTATATGTATAATTTTCATATATTTTGCTATCTTATGAATAAATGGTGTTCAGTATCCGTGATAGAGCATTTTTAGTTTCACTTACTGCATGGTAATAAAGTTCAGGCCTTGTACTATCATCAAACATATCTATCTATCTATCTATCTATCTATCTATCTATCTATCTATCTATCTTGTATACTTGGGAAGCAAGCTTTCTTTCAAACATGTTTCGGTGAATATGACAGACAAAAAAAATTTGATTAATTTTTCATTGACAATTTCTAGTATTCTTATTTTTTTCCATTTAGTGGGCGTAAGTGAGAGTAAAAATTTGTCCATAGTGTCTACTTTTCCAAAGCGCTTTTGTCCACTTCTTTAGCTATTTTAAGGGTTGTTTGTTGTTAATTGTAATTAATTTCTTTTCACTGTTGTCCTTTAAGATGTAATTGTGTGATGCATATTGTATGATAATAGCGTTTATACTGAATCCGCGAAAGGAACGTGGTTGGAATTCAAGTTGGCGCCTTTTTTATTTGAAAAAAAAAATAACACATTGTTTCCGTGGTTAAAAGCATTCAGTTCAATTTTATTTATTATTTGTGGTGCACTATCTCTTGATATCGGGCACACTAATTCTAAAACGAGGCCTACATCAAAAACGTTAATCTTCCAAGAATACTGTGGTCAACCTTTTTTTATTAACGAAACACAATGTTTGCCATATATATATATATATATGTATGTATAATGATATTGTTTTACTAATATACTGAGCTCTCTTTTAAATTGAATGTTCGGAATTTGTATTCGATTCGGATATATATGTATATATATATACATATATATATATATATATATATATATATATATATATATATATATATGTATGTATATATATAATTTGACATTACATGATGTCATACAACTGGCAGATATAGGATTTGATTCCTTGTTGTACAATGAAGTGCTGAAAATTTCTCGTCCTGAAACAAGAAGTGATTCCAACAGTCATTCTTATGTTTGGTCATTTGGTCAGAATTTCTATTTGGTAATTGGGACGGGCCGAGAACAATTTCGGCACCCATTCCTACGAATGTATACCTTTGTGGGAAAATATCTATCTATCTATCTATATATCTATCTATCTATCTATCTGGATTCAAATTTGCTGTATTCATGGAGTAAAAGGCTCTGTAACGAAGATAGTGTATGTAGATATAGTATCAACACAGCACGGTGACTGTTATTTTTTTCATCTCATTCGACATTCAGACAATTCCTGAAGATCCATTTAACCTTGAATGCGTATATATATATATATATATATATATATATATATATATATATATATATATATATATATATACTTCAATGAATGCTATAGACAGGGAAAAACGCATAGGTTTTTTATGAAAATTTCTAATGTTCTTACATGTTTTCTTGCTGGAAAGACGAAGGATTTACAGAAACTGCCCGCTTTCGGGAAATTCATTGGCCAGGAAAACAACCAATGTAGCCTCTCCATTTAAACTGAATACTTTGAATCCGCGTCATTCTAAATAATTCTGTCTGCCGATTAAGACTAAAACTTATCACGGCATTTTATATCAAAACGAACCAAGCACTAATCTCACTTAATTTAAGAAAAGTTTTAAGAAGACACCAAGTCAGGGTTCATCCTATCACGTAGGTCAAGATGACTTCTACATTTATTACAAAACAACTTATGACACGACACAATGAAAAAATATAAAAACTGATCCCTTAAAAATGGACCTTGAATTGACCGAAAGCAATAAGCCTAATAACCGTTAAGGAATTTCCGCACATCTTTAGTTCTTGCAAAAAAGAAACTGTAAGCAAATTAAGAGAAAATAATAAAAAAAATTGTAAGATTTTCTTTGTCACATTCAATGAAATATTTTAAAAGAAAGTTTATATTATTTGTATATGTGTTCTGTCATATGTGTACATATACAGATGAATATTAATAAATATAACTGAATTTTCATTTATCTTTACTCTGAGTTTTGCAGAAACATCGGCGTAAAATTGAATTTACTGTCAGATATTATATTTTTCTTGTAAATAAAATATATAATTAAATTTAATTATTTTATATGAAAATATGATTTCTGAAAACACTTCAGTCTCCTGAAGAGTGGATGTAATCTCTGGTGAACTTAAATTAGAGACAAGTGACGTGTTTAATTTTATTTATTATTTGTAATGCACTATCTTTTGATATCGAGCACTCTAATTCCAAAACAAGGCTTGCCTTAAAATCTTTATTTTCTAGGAATACAGTGGTCAGCCATTTTTTACGAAGTCCATTATATATATATATATATATATATATATATATATATATATATATATATATATTTATTAAAGACATTTTATGTTTAACGTTCTTTTTTTATAGATACAAGTATTTAAGTAAATGCTCTGTTTATAATACTTGCATCTATAAAAAAGAACGTTAAACATAAAAATGTTCTTTTTAATAAATAAATTGTCGGACTTTGTCAATTTCTAATATATATATATATATATATATATATATATATATATATATATGTATGTATGTATGTATGTATATATAAGAAGATATTGAAAACAACACCAAGATTCGACTATCTCTTTCATGATAGAAGCAATCGATGGCCTGACAAATGCGTTTATCATGATACAGAATGTCCATTCTGCGTGTTGACTTTAATATGCACTTTTATATTTACATCGTCTCTATCTGATATTGAGCATTTTAATCCATAAATATAGCATGCCTTAAAACTATACTGGATGGATCATATATATATATATATATATATATATATATATATATATATATATATACGGGGTCCTCTTTTTGTATATCTATATTATATGTATATATAAGCTGTCAATGTAATGATTCTATCAATATTTATCTATAAATGTATATTTAATAAAATTCCAAGAATAATTATAGAAATATCTCTTATTATTAACAATTTCAAAGACATCCTTAAAGCGGCAAGTGCAAATCAGACGCCCTTAAATAAACTTTTGTACATGCTATATCTATAATGATAGATATTTAATAAAAATACGCGTGTCTTCTAATTTATCCACCTGATAGATATGCGATTGTATACTTCGTTGTACAAAGATGTGCTGAAAAGTTCTCGTCCCCAAACAAGAAGCGATTCCAACAGTCATTCTGATGTTTGGTCATTTGGTCAGAATTTCTATTTGGTAAGTGGGTTTGGCTGAGGACAATTTCGACATTTACTTCTACGAATGAGGACTTTTGGAGCAATCGATCTATCTATCTATCCTGTTTCAAATTTGCAGTATTAATGGCGTAAGAGGGCTCTCTATCGAAGATAGTGTGTGTGGATATAGGAATCAACAATGTATGGTGACTTTCAGTTTCACATTTCATTCGATCTCCAGACAACTTCTTAAAATCAATTGAATCGTGAAAGCAAATATATATATATATATATATATATATATATATATATATATATATATATATATATTTGCGTTCACGATTCAATATATATATATATATATATATATATATATATATATATATATATATATATATATGTGTAAATTTCATTGAATGTCATAGACGGAAAAACTTATAAGTTTTTAAGAACATTTTCTAATGTTCTTACAAGTTTTTCGTGTTTGAAGGACTAAGGTAATGCAGAAAGTGTTCGCTTTCGGAAACTTCATTGGTCAGAAAGACAACCAATATAGCCTCTCCATTTAGACTGAATCTTTTGTCATAAACAGATAATCAACATTGGACCCACGGCAACAACTCCCTCTAGATAGAGGGCGACCCACTTACGGGATATGGTTGCTATAAAAATCTTCTCGACACCAATAAAAGTCAGACAGCCTTTATGACAAAGATTGGAGTTGATAAGTTTATAACAGAGACATTCCCAAGAAATCTATCTGTCGATTCCGACTAAAAATTATGACGGCATTTTATATGAAAACAATCCGAGCCAAGTACTAACCTTTCTTTTTTTAAGTTCTAAGAAGACACACTTACACAAAGACAAGCTTCATCCTATCAAGGCCAAGATGACTTCTACTTCTTTACAATATAACTTATGACACGGTCCAATGTAAAAAACATAAAAACTGACCCCTTAAAAATGGTGCCTGAACTGACCGAAAGCAATAAGCCCAATAACCGTTAAGGAATTTCCGCATATCTTTAGTTCTTGCAAAAAAGAAACTGTAAGCAAATTAAGAGAAAATAACTTTAAAAAATTGTAAGATTTTCTGTGTCACATTTATTGAAACATTTTAAAAGAAAGTTTATATTATTTGTATATGTGTTCTGTCATATGTGTACATATACAGATAAATATTAATAAATATAACTGAATTTTCACTTATCTTTACTCTGAGTTTTGCAGAAACATCGGCGTAAAATTGAATTTACTGTCAGATATTATATTTTTCTTGTAAATAAAATATATAATTAAATTTAATTAT